GTGTGTGTGAGGTGCTGTGTTGGGAGCCTTTATACAGCTGGGCTGTTTGTTCTATGCCTCAGCTCCTGGCTTCCTTTTCCTTGTCTGTGTTTGGAGTCAGGCTGTTGTCTCACTATTGATGGACTGTCAACAAATACTGTTGTCTGGGGAGACTGCCCCTGGGGGAAACCCCGCAGAGATGCCCAGGTCTCATGGGAGGCAGTGATGGGGGTACCCAGGTGACATTCTGGAGGTGCCAGCCACTGTTGCATTTCAGAAAGCTTTGTTCTTGAGGCACCATCTCCACCTGTGTGGACATGGAGTGGGGACCACTCAGGTGTGGGCTGTGAAGATGGTTGCAGGTGCTCCTGGCTGTTTTGTAGGACTTGCTGTCTGGGCTGCCTTCTACTGTCAGAGAGAATTCAAGGATCCCCTGGTGCCTGTGGAGGCCTGATGGAGTCAAGGGAGCAGGAGTGTGGATGCCTTCTGTCACACTTCAAGTTGAACTTCTCTGGAGCCCATGACAGTGCCCATAACATTCATAGTCCTTTGTTTCCTCTGAGTTCTGGAAGCTGCTCCTGTCCCCATGTCCTCAGAGCTTCTGTTGCCTCATGGACACAGTCAGTACCTTCCCTCAACATACTCTCCTGGGTTACTCGGGGACACTGTAAGGACAATTAATTTACTAGAGCCTGTCCTATGCATCTACTCGTGTTAAGTACTGCTACTAGCTGTATGGACATCCTGAGTTTTCATCACTTGTCAGTTCATGGTCCCTGACTCTGATCTTTTCTGAGGGTGAAGAACAAACCCTTCGGACACTCTGAACTTCAGAATAGCTTCTCAATCTGTCATCAGACACTGGCTGGAGTTCGTGGGCATATGGATTAGAACCTTTGTGTCTCTAAGGAGGAATGAGATGCTGGTCTAGGGCCCTCCATGCAGACAGCTTGGGAGGTTTTAATTCTAACAAAGGCTGGATCTTGCCACATTTCCTGAAAAACATCAGCCTGCACACCCATGGAGCTCAGCTGAGGAGACAGAGCCAATGGTTGATCTGCAGACTGAGGTGAAAGAAGGAGAAAGCAGTGTGTCCAACGCAGGGAAAATTTTGAAAACTTCCTCAGGAACCCTGAAAGCAGCAATGAGCAGGATAAGCCAGAATCCGGGAAGCCAGAGTCGCTGGATAAGAATTAAAGAGACAGCAAAACCATTTAAGAAATATAAGGCAAAATTGAGACATCTCAAGAAATGAAATCAAGGGATTCTGCTGTCAACAGGAATGACAACTGGACAAAGTGGCAGGGTACAGAATGGGAAAAGATTTTTACTGGCTGCACATCTGATAGAGGGATAATATCTAACATATATAATGAGACTTAAAGAAGGCCATAAAGAAAACAACACAATTAATAATGGAGTATAGGTCTAAACCTAGTTCTAGAAGATAAACACGTATGATTCTAAAACATAGAAAAGTTCAACAACATTAGTCACCAGGGAAATGATATCAAAACTACTTTGAGTTGTCATCTTGCAGCCATCAGAAGGGCCCAGGTCAATAAAACAAATAATAGCTCATGTCGGTGAGAATGTGGGGAAAGGGTCACCTACTCATTGCTAGGGTATGTGAAAACGTGTACAGCCACCAAGGAAGTCAGTGTGGCGGTTCCTCAGGAAGCTGGAATTGATCTACCTCAAGACCAAGCTACTCCACTCTGAGGCATCTCCCCTAAGGACTCTCCTTCCTACCACAGAGACTCATTCATGTCCATTGCTGCTCCATTCATAATAGCCACAAATGGAAGCAGCTTAGATATCTCTCAGTGGATGAATGGATAAAGACATTCATGTCCATTAACACAACAGAATGTTACCCAGCTGTTTAAAGATGAAACCACAAAATTCACAGGTAAACTGATATAGATAGGGAAAAAATCATCCTGAGTGAGGTTACCCAGATCCAAACAGACAAGTATTATATGGGGATGGATGTCAGCTGTTAAGTCTTCAAGAGCAGTCTACAATCCATATAACCTCAGAAGTTAGGAATAGGCAACAGCATTGGAAGGAAGGCTTTCCCAGAGAAGGGAAATAGAATATATAGTAATGGATGGACAAGATAGAGCTAGAATGGGAGAATTAAACAGGGAAGGGAACAGAAGAGGAAGGAAGGGAGAACTAAAGGAAAGATAATTAAAACAACCGATCACCTGGGGGTCATTTGGAAACCTACTGCAGTAGAGGCTTCTTGAAATTATAAACATATGAAAGAAATATAATCACCAAATAACAGGGGAGACAAATCTCCAAACAGACATCTCTTGCCACCAAATTAAACCTCCAGTGCTGGGAATGGGTTACATTGAACCAAGCTGTTGGCTCAAGGTGTCCCATGGAAACCCCAAAATAATCAAAGATTTTGCTCAGGTTACTCACCACCAACTGAAGGTAAGGCTCTGCTCCTGAAGACAATACCTACACAGCTCATTGAACATGGAGAACTTGAGCTGGCGCCTACCTAATTCCTTCACCTCAACTGAGTAGTGCTCAGTAAGGTACTCTGCATGGTACCAGAGGAGGAAGGTAAACAGCAAGCCAGCTATCAACCCTTCAATCTACACTCGTGATTTTTCCACAAATGCACAAATTCCACTCTCACAGAGGCTGTGGGAGTAACAAACCACTATCTCATTGGGTTTAAGGCTGACTTGATGGGATGAAACCTATGCCTGAAACTGCTCACGTGGGCAAGAACCAGAGACTAGAGAGGTCACAGACCCACGGGGAAAATTTAGCAATTAAATGACTCTTGATGACAGTCTGCTAAACTTACTCCTCAGGGTCATGCTCAGCCATCATCAGAGGAGCTTCTTACTGAACTAGACGGAAACACAAACAGAGATGCACAAGTAGAAATGTGCAGAGAGTGAGAGACCTTGGAGCACTCAGCCCTAAGTGGGAGGACTCCATCAAATCCTTTTCGTCAGGGCCCAGGGAACTCTGTAGAATTGGTGGCAGAGGAGTCTAACAGCCTCTAGAAATGGAGGACACTAGGAAACAAAGCCTTCCAGACCCCAGGACTGTGAATCTCACATAGACTGTGAAGGCATGCTCAAGGCCTTCACGGGTCCAAGGCAGATGGAGAAGTGGACATAAATCCCTCGCTAACTCCAGCTGGTAAGCACTCATGAGAAAAATTAGTTTTCTTCACCAGAGTCTCACTGCATATACAGAGCACACTTAAGGTCAGGCCCCATGCTCAGCAGTAGATGGCCAAAACAAAACAAGCTCAAAGGGATTTTTGGAGGTTTTGGGGTTCATAATGCTTTGCATGGTCATTTTCCTTTGTGTGCATGTGGGTGTGTGTGCATATGTATATTTGTGCATGTGTGTGTGTGTGAGTGTGTGTGTATGTGTTTGTGTGTGTGTGCGTGTGCGATCACACACCCCTGTTTTTTCCTTTTTAAGCTTACAGGCCTTTTGCTTATATATTAGGGTTTCCAACTGTGCTTTATGGGATTTCTCTGGGTGACTATGTATGTCTCTGCACCTGTGTGTGTTTCTTGTGCTTTTTCTTTGGCTCTATTTTTGTGTTTGGTTTTGTTCTATTCTTGTTTTTTTAACTTACTCTAATCACCCAAGTGTGATTGAATCCACAGGAGAAGCCTGTATCCCAGAAGCAATCAGGAGACAGTATGAGAGAAGACAAGAGGCTGCTTGGTGTGCACCCTGCTCCAGACTCTTTAAAAACCAAACATTTATGGGAAAGTCATTATAGCATCCTTGTTCTTGTGAGGGTTTATTTTATTCGTGTGTATGTTTCTGTGAAGCCCATGTGAGTGGCTGTAGATACCGGGAGAGGGGATTGGATCCTTGAAGCTGGAGTTACAGGATTCTGGGAATAGAAACTGAGTCCTCGGAAAGAGCAGTCAGTGCTATTAAACACTGCCTGAATTCTTCATCACCAAGTCCATGGGATTTTAGCATTTATAGATACAGTATATATCCCAACAAGACCATCGACTAGGCAAAGAACAATATAGAAGGGAAATATATATGTGATACATCTTTGTGTAAGAGTTGGTGTGTTTGCATGAAAATCTCTCTAGTCCCCAAACTCATGTGTTCTGTGTCAACGTCAGGACAAGCACCTAATCTAAACATATTGATCAAGGCCATGGTGCTTCCAACACCTTCACTCAAGGCCTCCATTGATGCTCTGTCAGGGAACAGACCATGACAGCTCAAAAAGATGTGACACACAAGGAAACAAACCACCAGGAATGAAAACAGGCAGAAACTTCTGGAAACAGACTTGGATCCCAGAGATGACCAATGTGTAAATGACCAGTCAGAATGGAAAGCAAATAAATGCAGAAGCTTAAAGAAACAGCCCAAAGTCACAAACTCATCTGGGAATCTCAAGATTTATTTCATTTCACAAGAGTAGAAGATGTCAATGGAGAGGAGTGAGGAGGAGGAGGAGGGCTGAGTGGAGGAGGGAGGCCATGGAGAAGGAGACCCCATGTCAGCTCAGCTCTGAGGCCCAGGACAGAGAACAGGAGCCAGAGCCTGCAGTCTCTAACTAGGACAGGTGTCTACTCTGAGGCACAATGGGTCTCCCTAGAGATTTCTTGGTAATGATGACTTCAAAAGAGCCAGGCAAACAGAAACAAGAGAGCCAGATGGTCAGGGGAGAGCCAACACTGGATACAGCTCAAGGCAAAGGTCCAAAAAGATGAAACCCTGCCACACAAGCCTGTCCCCATGGGTGTCCAGATGTCCTGGAGAGGACTTAGATGGCTTGCAGGGCTCACAGCTTATCAACTGGTCATAGAATAGTAGCCAGCATCTGGGCAGATGAAAAGGAATGGGACAAAGCAATATGGAAGACACAGGAAGCTGAGCTGGGAGACATGGGTATGAGGCTGAGGCCAGTGCTGGGGAGCAGGACTGCTGGGCTCACCACTCTGAGGGTCTCAGACCTGCACCTGGGGGACTCTGAAGCTTGGGACAGGTCAGCAGCAGCTGGACTTCTGGCCTGAGGAGAGGCCACAGCAGGCCTGGCTGGAGCAGGCAGGGCGGCAGAGCAGGGACATGCTGGAGCAGGGCTTGCAGCAGCTGGGCTGGCAGGAGGAGGCACAGCAGGAGGAGGTGGGCACACAGCAGGCAGGTCTGCACACAGGGCGGCAGAGCAGGGACACGCTGGAGCAGGGCTTGCAGCAGACAGGCTTGCAGCAGACAGGCACACAGCAGGATGGCTGGCAGCATGAGGGTTGGCAGCTAGACTGCTGGCAGCATGAGGAGGACCCA